GAAGGGCGGGCGGCAGCGGGCGGCGAGAGAGCCGCGGAGGAAGCTGAGGAGGAGGATGCGGAGGAGGATGAAGAGACGAAGGACGCCAAGGGGAAGCTGAGGAGGAGGTTAAAGAGGAGGATGAGGCGCCTGAGGTACCAGAGCGGACACCGCCCTCGCCCCGCCCCCCGCGGGCCTTACGTCAGCACGTCGCGCGCCGGCCGGCCCCGCCCCTCGCCGGCTTGCTATAAAAGCAGGCGCCGGGGACCGCGGGGCAGTGGGTAGTCGCCGTCTTCGTCTTGTCCGCGATGTAGGTGGTCACCCAGGACTCCGAACCTCGGCGCAGGAGGCGGGCGTCTTCGGAGGCTGCGAGCGCGGGCGTGACGTCACCTCCACGGCGCGCGGGGACCGCCGCCCCACGCACAGTGCGGATGGATAAACCCCGCAGAGGGGCGAGCAGAAACCCAAATATGCACCTGTCAGCAAGGGGCCCAGTCCTGCTTGCGTAAAGCGCTCTCACAAATTGATAAGCAAAGCACACGATCCTCATGGGAGGGGGAAAGTGCACGTGGCACCAAGCGCACCCCCGCGTGGCCCCGGCGCCCGGCGCGCGTGTGCTCGCGGCTCCTCCCGCGGGGGCGCGGTGGGTGCAGGTGGCGCTCCTGGAGACGCCCGCCGCGCCGACAGGCCGAGGGGTGTCCCTGCGGTGGCCTGCGCCGTCCTTCCCGAGCGTGGGAGAGCCCCGAAGATGCGGTCCACGTCACTTGTAACCGAAAGAGCCCGTGGACAGACACGGAGACCTTCTTTAAACCTGGGAGAAAGGTTTTTTCCGTAGGATATCCAGTGTTAATCGCCAGTCCACATTCAAACCTCCCAAGCACTGTGACTGTCTTTGACAACTGGCATCTGCTTCTCTAAATGTCACTATTATCAGTGGGGGCACAGAGCGCCAGACAAGAACATGGGCACCCTGCAGCAGGCATGAAAGTGGAGACATGCTAGTTAGGAGCAGGTGAGCTGCCAGGCCCCAGGCGAGGTGCTAAATTTAGCCTGTAATGAAACTGATCAGGGGAAAGTAGGAACTGGTATTTTTATACACCGTGGGCACCAGCACCAGATATGTTTCATAAGCAGCTTTGGCAAGAACCAAAGGAAACTGAACCTCTGTCTCCAAGTGTACGGTGAGGAACAGTGTGTTAATTAACTGAGTCATCGCTCATGACAAAACCCCAGGGCACTCAGGACCAGATTTTGTGAGGTTGGCACTGGGGAAAGAAAAGCGAGGGATCCCCCTCCCCAAACTATGTTCTCAATTTCTTATAAGAGCAGTAGCTTTCATGAGGAAGATACCGCATTCAAAAGAAAAAAACTCATCTCCAGTTTGGGTAAGAATCCAAAACTGGGCTGATGCTTTTGGCCAGAGACAGTTTTCAGGGGTATTTATAATGATGTGTCAACCTTTCTAAATAGAGGTGTAAATGTAGGTGAGGTAAAAACAGCAGGAGGTGAGAGCTGAGTCCTGAGAAAGCAGATATTCCTCCTGCTGCTGTGCCAACGCTGGGAAATCTGCACGCCTTGTCTGGCTGATGTACCTAAACAGAAGCCCGGCATGGAAAGCATGCACCTTCTTGCTTGGACCAGTTCAAGAGACTGTTCATGACACATTGAAAGTGACAATTTCCCCATCAGTCGTTCTGACCTCAAGCATCCCCTTTGTGGCCTATGGACATTTTCCATCTGTAACATTCCTGATGAAATGAACCAGCTCCATGGAAGCAGCCCCTGCTGCCATTTTGACAAGCTCCTCCACACGCACACTCCCTGTGCACATTTTAATTTACCCAGATGAGGAAGGGAGGGTGGGGTGCAGCTCACATCTGTTGGGTTTTGGATCTGGGTGAATGTCTGTGAAAATCTCCCTTTGTGAATCTTTACTTTTGAAATTTCTTGGGATAAACACATCTTTGGAACTCTCCAAATGGGTGGGCCTCTTAGATCCTGCTTCCCTGGTGACCTTTGGGCTGTGGGGAAAGATGGGAAGATGAAGACCAGCAAGGTGACCCAGCAGATTCCTGGCTGTGTGGCACAGCCCTGTTGGAGCTGCCAGGGAGCGGAGGAAGGTGGGTCAGGACACCTTGGTTGAAGAATGTGCGTGTCTCCACTGGGGCAGGGCCACTCCGTCACCTGGGTGAGATCTGGCCACTAACAGCCCGAAGGGGAGCTTGACAGGCAAGGCTCGATTTAGTCACAAATCTAAATTTTTCGATAGATTTTTTAAAACCAGGAGGAAATTCAGCAAAATTATAGCAGACATGACAAATGATTTCCCCATTTTTGCTAGTCCGATGAACTTAAAATGGCATCTCATCTTGTCTTATTTAAACTTAAGTGAATGCTGGTGTAGTTGAGCGTTTCTTACTGTGTCTATTGAGCTGGATCCCAAATCTGCAGAGTGCCCAATTGTAGCCGTTGCTTGCTTCTCTACTGTGTTCTCTGACTTTTCCTTTAGATAAAATCCCTCATCAGTTTTTGATGTTGCAAATATCTTCTCCCTGCCTGTGACCCCTTCATGAACTCTTCGTCTGTCAGCAAAGATTAAACAGAAATATTTAATTTTGAGTAGCCAAACCAATCATTTTTATCCTTGATGGCTTTGTCAATCATAAGGAAAGGATAGCCTCTTCCTTAGCTGGTACCAGTCATCTTTACGACACCTTGCACCTAGATCCCTGTGTCACTTCAGATACAAAAATAATTAGAGTTATCCAAGACAGAAAGGTGGAAAGCAAGATTTTAAAACTTTTATTTTTTTTATTTTTTATTTTTTTGTGAGGAAGATCAGCCCTGAGCTAACATCCATGCTAATCTTCCTCTTTTTGCTGAGGAAGACTGGCCCTGAGCTAACATCTATTGCCAATCCTCCTCCTTTTTT